TGGCCCAGGCTGCCCAGGGAGGTGCTGGAGTCCCCAGCCCTGGAGGGCTTCAAAAACCACATAGCTGTGGCACTTGGGGACATGGTTTAGTGGTCATGGGAGTGTTGAGTGATGGTTGGACTTGATGATCTTAGTGCTCTTTTCCAACCTTAATGATTCCCTGATTCATACAATACAGCAGCAAGTCCATCCCCTTTAGATTTTAATTGTATTTTTCTTTTATTTCAGCCACTTTTCATCCTGTAGCTCCAAGACTTTCCCAGCCTCTCTCAAACCAACTCTTGAACAGAATATTTTCTGCAAGCCTTTCCTCTTTTCCTTTTTGCCCTCCCACAAACCACAGGAGCTGTTGTAGACCCAGGAGTGCTTTCTCTTCTCACTTGGAGATCAAGTTGTGTCATCTTCAGCAATGCAGCTGATGGTACCATTGACATTTGCTTAAACTCTTCAGGGATTCATGTTTCTTTTCAAAGTTTGATGCTCTTTGGAGAGAATACCCATCTTGAAGAATAGGGTAGGGAATAGAATAGGGATTAAAAATTTCCTTTGTGAACTTTATCACCTGAATTGGTTTTTTTTTTTGGTGGGCAAGGTTAAAGCTGAGCATTTATTTGTGCAACTGGTGGTGCTCCATTAAGAGTTGAAGAATAGGGTAGGGAATAGAATAGGGATTAAAAATTTCCTTTGTGAACTTTATCACCTGAATTGTTTTTTTTTGGTGGGCAAGGTTGAAGCTGAGCAACTGGTGGTGCTCCTTTAAGAGTTCCAACTGTTCCCTTGACAAAATGAATATTTTTATTGCACTGTGAAATAAAACAAAAATTATAGCACAGGGTGGTTTTGAATTTTAACTGTAAAACTCAAATGTATTCTTGCTTTCTAAATTACACCTAAATTTTGCCTCTTTCCTCAGTGTTTTGGAGCTTTTCTACTGTGCATGATAGAGGAGAGCTGCTGAGCTTGCAAATAACTGACTTTGAAATGGCTTTGAATAATTTTGCTTTTCTTGGCTTTTTGTACCTAATCAGAATTGATGTGACTGAAGTACAAATCTTCATAATAATCATGCATTTACTGGCAGTGATTGGAGGACCACCTTTTTGGCAATCTCTGGTAATTTTGTTCTTATTTTCTCCTTTTTCATATTCTAGTAGTCACCTGGATTAGCAGCACAGTTTAATTTGTGAGGGGCAGGTCTCACTTGAACCCCTAAACAGAAATAGATGTTCTTGGGTACAGGTCAGGACTGTGCATTCTGGTTTGACCAGAGTTATTCAAACAAGCTGTAATTCTGTATCTTGTGTTTGCAGGTAGAAAGCTATCAAAGGTTGCACAAAATTAAAGTGTGCCTTTGAAGTCCAGCTTCCTTTTGGGAGAGCTGGCAAAACTGGAATGAACTTCATCCCACCAGCTAGATCAGCACTGGAGGAATGCTGAACTGGGGTGAGGGCATGGGGGAAGCTTTTGGAGAGCAGTTGGTAACCAGCAGGAGATAATTTGGCCTGAATGAGGCTGAGAACTTTTATCTGTGTGGGGAGGGGGAGTAATTATCACTTTTTTTTTAAGCAAAGATCATTCTAATTAAGCAAATGACTGTCATGGGCTTGCTGTGTATAGATCCTGCAGGTGGATCTGTATGGACCCCATTATGGGCTGTCACCAGTTGACTTTATATTTCCATTACTGGAGCCATACTGGGCTGTCAAAATGGCATTGTCCAGAGGAGAGTGCATACATAAACTAAAAAAAAAAGAATAATCTGGAAATAGCACCTAAAGCAGTGATTTCCTAGAAGGTTTTTCTTCCAGAAGATTGATCTTTTGTGTGTTTGATAAACACAGTTCTTAGGCTGGAAAAAGAAACCTTGCTTTCCAATAAAACCAAGAGATGGTCAAAAAATTACTGAAATGTAATTGATTAATTTCTAATCTGCTTCATATAAATAGAGAAATGAGCCTTTTAATGTTTTGGAGAATATCTAGAAAAAAGGAGCTAATTCTGGCTACCCCAGCCTTGCTACGTGTGCTTGCAGGCTTAAAATAAACCACTCCCCCCCAATTAATGATGTAAACTGCAAAGTAAATACCATCTCAAGAGAATGAGTCTGGATGGAATGGCCTGAAAAGAGGCCACAAGTTGACTGGTTGGTGCCAGACTTTTTCCAGAGGTTCATGTGGTCATTGTCCCCATGCAGCTGCTGTTCTGTGTTCCAAACAGGGATTTCCCAATTCATGTTCTCAGTTCTCTTCCTCTCTTTATAAAAATGGGGGAAAAAAAATGCTGCCACAGCAACCTCTGGCACAATTCAGCACAAGACAATGTTGATGTGAGCTTAGAAATTGATTGTGTGATTTAAATAGCTTTGAAACTCCTTTAATGTGTTAAATAACCCTTTTGGCAAAATCTTGATCTCTTTTAGAAGCCCTGGGTCACAGCAGCATTTGGCTGCATCAGCTCCCAAAAGATTAAACTATTTTAAAATCTGATGTTGGATGAATGGAGACATTTCTCCAGTGAAGAAACCTGATCAGATTTTCCTGTGACAATGAGGAATTTTCCTTTTTTTTTGTTCAACTTGTGAGATTTTATGTAGAGATGAATGTTATTTACTACTTGCAGAGTAAAATATGTCACCCAGCCCTTCCTTACCCTCCCCAGTCCTTTTGTGTTTTGTGACAGCAAAATTGATGATTTGACTTTTTTAATTTCTGTAAAGGGGGGAAAAATAATGGACTAAACTGTGGTTGTATACTCAAACATTCCACTTTCTCCTGCTAACCTGTGAGAAGCAAACCAGTCTGACTGGGCAGAATGCAGAGCTGTGTGTTTTGTCAATCCTTGCTTTCCTTGGCTTTCTCTCTTTCTGTGGAACAGGGAGGTGCCTGTACTGCTCCTGTCCTTCCTGCCAGCTTAGGCTCTCTTTAAAACCTGTTAAAATGCTGCTCTGCAAAGCTCCTGGAACTCCTCAGGGGTTTTGGGTGGATGGGGAGGGTGCCTGCACCAGGA